GGGAGCCATGTAAGAACAATCCTTTAAATCATGAAGAGTGAGCATGAGGGGGTTTTACAGATGACTGATGGCTAGTATGACTCTTGTTTCCTATAGAGATGTGGGACAGATCTTGAGATGATACTAGAACAGTTCTGCACTCAGTAAAGCACAGTATCAGTAATACTGGGTATTGACACTCTTTTGGCAAAGTTAAATCTCCTCCGCCCTTTGCTTCATAATTGAAATGTCCCAGGAGCAGGTAGCTTTAATCCCAGATAGGGGAGATCCTGGGACATAGGTGAATTGACGAGTGGGTGGACCAGCTTTCAGTGGAAAGCAGCTGCTTTGTTCTAATCAATTGTTTCTATGTGGAAAGTGAGAGCTTAGGTTTGCCAGAATTTTTGAAGGCCGAGTGGATAGCTGTATTTTTAATGTGAACATTTAATGAAATGCTATCTTAAAACAAGGTAGCTGTGGATCACCTTCAGCCCACCTGCAAGCATGTGGCCTCTGAGACAGGACTTGCATACCTTGAGCTTGTAAACAGTCAAGGAGGAAACTACATACAGATGGAGATTGGAACTGAGTTAGCTTCTGTAAAAGCTTTGCCCCTGGCTCCCAGGGAAATAAGCCTAAGTTTTACTGCTGCTCCTCAGACATCCCACTCAACTTTCTGCCAACCATATATAGGAAACCAATGATAAGAGTGGGGACAGCTCTTTCCCAGGAAAAACAATGCCATGGATAAGTTCCCAACTTTACTGGATTTCTATTTGAATTTCCAAGGAGGATTCTAGTAAGAAAAGCAAATTAATGGAATAGCACCTAGGGCTAGAGTTATTCTTTGTAGTTGTGACAAAGCTACTGGCCCTTTGGAGGGAATGATGGTAAGACCCTAATAAATAGCCTTCCTTCTCTGGTTAGAAAAACCGATGTCCTGCCTCATCATTGGTCCAATCCCCAAGGCTTAAGTTTTTCAACTCCTGCTTGCAAGCTGTGTTCTGTCTCCATTTGAACTCAACCTCATTCCTAATTCAGAGTGTAACTTGGCAGTCATCCTGACTTAGGAAGCTTCTTCACTCTCTGACTGGGTAGCTGGGTTAATGCTTCTTCCTCGTTCTTGTCTGGGTTCCAATTTTGGATTGCTGGACCTGTGGATCTCTCCAGTCCTTGGAGAACTCTGGCTTCTGTCACCACACTTCCCTGATTCTGCTCCTTTGCTCTCTATCCAGCCCCACACTTCTTTACTCCCACCTTGGCTAGACTGACCTACCACTCCATGAGGCATTGCCTTGACACCATTTCCCATCCTTTATTTCCATCAGTCCCAATGGTTCTCAACCCAGGATAGCATATTCTCCAGTGATGTTTGGCAATGTCGAAAGACACTTGGTTGTCCCAACACGGACTGGAGAAAGGAGAGTAAGTCCCAGGAACACCTAAGAGGTTGAATCAAGGATGCTCCTGGTTTTATAGATAGACACCACAATCAAGAATTACCCTGCCCCAGAAGTCATTGATACCAAAGTTGAGATACCCTGCTCTACAGATTCTGAGCTCCGTCTGCAATCCTTACTTGTATCTTCTGCTGCTGAATCTGCCTGCTTCCCTGTGTGTTCTCATCTTGGTGTCCTGGCTTGGACTGTTCTGGTCCATTCCAGCACCAACCAGCTGTGCTTTAACAGAGTTTGTAAACTATAGTATAGATATGTTGCATTTTGATGAAAAAGTTCTTAAAATATTTGATGTAGTGCTATTATTTAAACATTAAAAAACTCACAGAACATTCCAGTCTTTCACTTCTCTGGATAATTTTTATTATCTGTTGATAAGAGGCCCACATTTCCTATAGCAGCACTTGTGTTTCTCTTTAGACAAGAAATGTACTTTCATTGCCATGATCACCACTACTTCCAAATTACTCACATCCAGGGAGCTCAGTACTTGAATTCACAATCTTGTTCAATGTTGCAGTCTCTTTTAACATTGTGCTTTGTATAATGCAAGAAATAAAATCCTTAAATTAAAACTGTATACACACGAGAGAGAGCAGATGAAGTGTGGGATCATGAAATTACAAAATAAGATTGCAACCTCCAAGTAAACATGCAACAGAGAACTTACTGCCTTGTGCAGAAAATTTCTGCATCTCTGGATCTAAATGATGTGTTTTCACCTTTAAAGAAAGTGGTACTATTCTGTATGACCAACCATGTGATGTTTATTCTTGATGGACTAAGAGAAAAGGGGGGAAGGAGAGGCAAAGAACAAAGAGATATAGAAAGAATGTGGGAAATCAGTTTAACCCTGGAGATTACACATATGCAGTCATATTTTTTGAGAGGTGATAGAACATATACTTGAAGACTCATTGGTGAAACAGGATTATCTGGAAAGTAACTACAAATGAAGATGGTTAGTAGGTACAGAGTAGGTCTTTAGCCCCAGGTTTACAGGAAACTGTCATTTATTAAAGAAGCAGAGTCAGATGGTTTTGGCTGGCCATAACTTTCCACTGAGACATCCTATAGTTTTCTACATTTGGAAGAGAGCTTAGAGAGGACAATGCCAGGAAGAGAATTTCAGACTTAGCAGAAAGAAGGAAATTGCTACTGGACTTGTCTTAAACCATATGTGCTGCTGAAAGGCAAATAAATACTTATGACTGAAATAAATCAAGTTAGGAGTTACATGATCATAGCATTTTTTTTCAGTAGCTGATTAAGTAAGTGCCAGACTGCATTGTGGATATGGATACATGCAGGTCCAACCAAGTTTTTTAGAAATGTGAAAAATCTGGGCCCTCCCCTGGTGGCACAGCAGGTTAGAGTAGCACTGCGAAGCTAGCCAGGCTGCTTCAGTGCAGGTTCGATCCCCACCCAGGAGGTGACCCATATGGCACAGCAGACCTCTCCTGTCTCACCTGCTGCTCCCCTCAGCAGTGTAATTTTTCAACCTGCCTGTTCTTCTCCCTACTCTGGTGATTCCTCTCACCACCCCTGCACCTCTGGCCTGTACCCTAGCTCTGTATGCATAAATAAATAAATCTTCAAAAAAAAAAAGTGAAAAATCTTGGTGTTGGCCACGTTCAGTAATGCATCCATGCAGCCTGTGGTTTGATTTCCCAAGAATGTGAAGAAGTATATTTGTTGCAGAGAGTCAGCTGCTATGAAGACCCAAGCTGTCACATTCCTGGATTCCTTTACCCAGATGCTCAAGTGGCAAATGTCTATTTCTGGATCATGGAACTATTTATTCAGTGAAACAAATTGATTTCTGATGTGCTTAGATTTAATAGAAGGGGAAGTCAAAACTCTCTTCTGAATAAGTAGGTTTCATTGCAAGAGTGCTGGCCGAAAGTACAGTGATAGTCTATAAAACCCAGATGACTTGTGTAGAACATCTGGTAGAAATGTGTATCACTAAGCTTTTAAATGTGACTTTAAATGAAGGTTGGCTACAGAGGAAAACTCTGTGTTTATCTACCTTGACAAAGCACAGTGATTCCTCTTGGCAGAACATTTGGTGAATGCAGAGATTTATTTTAGTTCCATGTTGATTTAGACGGATTTTCATGGGCAATTGCAAAAGCATATACGTAACAGAATCTTAGGAAAATTTTTAGATTCTAGTCTCCTTTGAATCGAGGGAAGGATTTGATGTTATTAATCTGTGAGAACTGACTGTGGAGTTCTCCATATACCCTGGCAAAAAAGAAAAGAGCTGTGTATGTCGCCCGTGAAAACCTTAGGACCCCTTCAAGGAATATGTGGTTTGCTTCTGGTTGGATGACAGCAATGAGTCGAAAGAATCAATAGGCATGAGAGAGAAAATCTCTGGTGAAAAGCACAGATCTATGACCCAGCAAACATACGCGGTCAGCAAACTTTATTTTTCAAGGACTGACTGTCTTTTTTTAGGGAAGAGATTTTTTTGAAAAGCATGTGTGCATGCATGTGTGTGAGGGTTATTTGGGGGCATTGCTCAAATGTTTTTCACTGACTATAAAATATAAACTTTATACCACACCCCAGATTGTACTCAAGATGTTTGGCACCAGTGGAATATTTTGCTGCCCTTTGGATGAACAATCTGCTTGGAAGGTGTTGCAGCACAGCGGCTTCTATAAAGACACCCGTTCACCCAAGGGAAGGGAAGGGGTTTAAATAGAAACTGAAGGGTGGGGTGCGATGATATTGACAGCTTCTGATGCTGGTTGGAGGTGCTGAATAGTGGCTGTCAGAGTCCCTCCCCCACCCCATTCACTGGCCTTCAATAAGTAACTTCTTGCCGATAGCTTTCATGCTGTCCATTGCTTAGTATCATTCAGTGAAATCAGTTACAATATTTCCTGGTATATTAGGAAGAAGAAAAGAATTTCAGCTTGACGAGTAAGAGGGAGTGTCCTGGTCATGAACGCTTTGAATGTTGTGCTTACGCATTTGAATTTTATTCCATTGCCAGTTAGGAGCGATGTTTGCTTCAGGAAGTGACATCACTGAATCTTTGTTTTTGTAACATTCATCTGGTAGCAGTTTGGGGTGGAAGCAAGGCGATCAGTTAGGAGAATATCGCCACAACTAAAGGCAAAGATGGAAGGGCCTTGGGCAGTGAGGGTGAGGATGAGAGGAAGGAGACATATTTAAGAGACATTCATTCAGGAAGTTAATAGAATCTTTCAGGAAGCTTAGTTAAATCGCCTATCACCTTCACAATGACTTTTTTATTGAGTTGGCATTGAAAGTCAACTTTGGATTGAAAAGCTAGCTAATTTTAGACGTACAAATGTTTCATTCAGTTTAAAGGCAGAGGGGCTAGGAAACAAAGTTTTTCCCTTATTAAAAAAATTAAAATTGAACCAAGTAGAAATGACATCATATCTCTTTTCACTTCTCTGGGATCACTGTCTTTAAATAAATGATACTTACAGGCTGGTCTACAGTTCTAAGGCCCAAGAGTCACTTGGGCAGTTGAAAGGATCACAATAATATTTGAAAAGTCAACACCAGCTTACATACCAGTGGTCTTACTGCTCCACCCACAAGTTAGTGTCCTGACTTGTGTAGTCTGTAAGGCTGTTTATTACTGGGAAGAAACAAAATAGAATGAATGATTAAACTTGGGTCAGAAAGAAACTTTTTGACTTAATTCCTCTTTACGACTTTAAGATCATTAATGTAAATATTAGGCAAAAACAATTTTAAAAGATCAGGCAAGATTGTTGCCAGTTGCCTCTTAAGTGAGACTACATGCCTGCAAATCTCAATCCTACTGACTGAAATCTTGACAAAACTCCCGCTATCTCCAGACCTCAGCTTGCTGTCTTGTAAAATGGGAATGGTAATAATGCTAACTCAGGGTTGCTGTGATGGTCACATGAGGAAATGTGAAGAAAGAGGCTAGCTCGGTTCCTGGCACATGATGCATGCTCAATAGCTGTCGTTATTGATTACTATTAGTTTCATACTTAAAGTTGTGTGTAAGTAAGGCAAGGTAGGAAGGAAGCAAGATGTCTTTGTATTCCTTCAGGATAAGTGAGATTTTGTAGAGATTTAATAATACCCTTTGTTTTGTGGGCTTCGTATTTTTAAAAATAGTGAATCTGTGTGACATTCACACATTGTTAGAGGTTTGCCTTCCAAGGCATTTGACTTTTGTATACCTCCAAATGCCATGTTTACCCCCATGTTGGGACAAGAGTGATGAGAAAATGGGATTCTGTGTAATGCATTGTTTCTCTTCTATCTTAAAAAAAAAAATCTACATATTCATCTGTGATTATAATAAAATTCTGTACATCCCTTCTTTTCAAATTTTATCTAGAATCTGACAAAAAAGAACCATCTCCTGCTGGCAATGCAATGTTTCAAAACCATGGTTATAGGTGGAAAAAATGCCAAATCAAGATTTCCTTGAAAAGGGGTATTACTTTATACAAGTAATTTTTTAGGAGGAATAACTTGGGTAATAAATTTGGAGTCTTTCATGGCTCATACCTCCATAGGGATTTTGAGTAAATTTGAGATCTGAATTGTCCCATTCTTGTTGTGGATGTTTTTACCCATATAAATGGTCAAAACTAAGATGCTAATCCTTTTTAATATATTCTGGGCAATGTTATGTCCACTAAAAAAACTGATTTTGGAAGCAATAGCTATGACAGGGTCTCTAACAGATTATAAAACTTATCATAAATCGATACCATCCATAGTTTAAATTTTTAAAAAGGTAGAACTGGAGTCTTAAGTTTAGAATCTTTAACTGTGACCTAAAATCTCGGGACAGATACATACTTCAGAAAAGTTAATGGTTATGGTGGAAATTTGTGCAGCTGCTATAATCTACCTGTTTTTTTATGTTATCATTGCTTGCCACGAGAGGGACTTTGGCTCTCAGTCACGTATTGTCAATGACATTCACAGAAATTTAAGGAGAACACTCAGTTTAGGGTAGAAATAGGATTGACAGCTATTATATTTTCATTCTAATTTATATCAAATTATTTCCTTTGTTAAAGCAAGAGAAAGCAGTTTTCCTAAATAGACCAATAATCAAGGAACTTATAGATATATTGAAGTTACAGCCATATCACAAAACAGTACTGTTTATCATTTAGAGAGTTGGGGGGTGAACTTGAAGAGGGTGGAAGGGAAACTCATTTTGACTGCAGTGGTACTGTTTTTCTCAGCACAGCGAAAGATCGGGGTGGGCTATAATTCTAGAACTTTCTTTGGTAAAGATTATGCCTGAAAGTATTTTTGCTTATTTTCCTCTAGGTGATAAGAGGAAGTTTGGGATAAATGTAGTGGTGAGAGCGTAAGCTGAAAGACTTGACCATTGGTGGTAACCAAAGGTGGGTTCTAAAGTCATTGTTGTGATGATTTAGAGGAGATTCATCATGAACATCATTATTTTATGGTAAAGAAAACAAAGCAAGCAATCTTGCCACTACACTTTGTCATGGTCAATTTTAGGGATTAGAGTAACCAGCTATCGCCTTTTGATATTTTTGTTCTTTGTGAATATCTTTAGGCATTAATTTTGATTCCTGAGATTTTGGGGACTGCTAAAATTTTACCTCATTTGCCTTACCCTCACTTAAATGCTTCCATAACACGAGAGACCCCACCTAAGGCCACAGGACGTAGGTAGTCTGGTGTGTTAAAAGAGCCTTAGAAGTCAAGAGAGTTGGTGGTTAAGTTTTACCTCTGCAAGGCACGAGCTACGTGACTCCTATAGACCCCAGATGCTTCCTCTAGAAAATACAGGTGACTTCTAATTTCAACTTTACAGGAAACAAAACGATCAAACCACATATTTTAGTTCTTTTTTTATTCTACATACCTCCAGGTAGCTTTGTACAATGTGGGCATTCAAAAAATGTTTTTGATTACTTGTTTTTTAAATACATTAGAGCAGAATTAGGTTCCAAAACAAAAAGTCTACCCAAATTAAAACCTAATCTTCCCAAACGAGAATATTTTTCCCTCCCTCATTCCTCCCAGAGAAAAGAATAAATTTGAAAGATTTAGTCTTTTTGATTTATTTAAATGTGGCAAAGTCTTACTTTTTTTCCCCAGGAAATATTTTATTAAAATATTTCAGGTTTCAAGTGAACCAGACTTGTGTAATCATCCAGCCCTATGGGATTTCTTTCCATCTTTTAGATACTTGTACCACCCTGATGAGTCACATTTTATAAAGTGTAACATCTGTGAGTAAAGGTTATAAACATGAGGCCATGCCCCAAAGAGCTGCAGACCTGCAGAACAAACAGAAACTCCACTTTCTAACTAATTCTTCATATTTAAGTTTGCATATGTAGTGTTTAAAAAGCACGTGTGCATATAAAACAGGTGACTTTGTAGAACTTCCTACTCTCTTTCACAAAGGAAGGAAAAAAAGTACTGGTTCAATGGTAAAACTTCTGACTATATTTGAAAAGCTCTTTTCTTTATTCTTAACTTGCTTATGATATGGTAACTTTGCATTTACTTACTATCTGATCAGTGGTAGGAGTGTGAGGGAAAGAACCACTTTTGAGGCCTATTAACTGTTACTTTGTAGATTATTTCTTGATTCTGTAATTTCAGTAGTTTTAGTTTACTTGGTATCTCTTTTTTATATTTGGTATCGCTCACCTTGTCCCAGAAACAGAGGTCTTGTACTTGAGGAAAATAAAAGTGACTTTCTAAAGGTCATTAATTACACTGGTTCATAATAAAGACTGGACATATAGGCATATGTCTGCACTGCTTCTAGTGACTCAGCACTTTGGTAACTGAAAAATCAAGTGTTTTCCAGGTACTTAAGTTTAAGAAAGTAGTCATAAAGTATCTTTGCATCTATACAACATACTTTCGGTGAGACAAAGTGCAAAACTTGGAAGAACTAGATAAAAAAGCCACTTGATCCATTAACATTTCATTTTAAAAATTCTACATTGAGAATAGGCTCCTGTCGCTCATTACAGGTTTTCTCTAATGAGACAGTCAGACAAGTCATTTCCAGCCTGAAGTCTGACTCCCTGAGACTATGTTTAGTAATGCCTGTGACCAGTTATTAAAAACAAAAAAGTTTAGCAATTCAAAGCTCATCTTTAAAACCACCTAAAAATAGTTCTATTAATAGTAACATGAATACCTTGAGTCAAAGACACTTCAGTTTTGCTTGTATTCTCGATAACAAACTTGACGGTTCTGAAAGAGAAATTCAAAAAGACCCATTCTAGTATTTCCAAAAAACAAATCCCACCATACCAACCTGGAAAATGGGACTGAAAGGCAGTGTCCCAAGGATCTTTAGAATGAACCTGTGTTCCTTCACTTCAGAATTCATTTGTGAAGCAACACCTGCATTTAACTTTTTGCCAGTTTCAGGCCAAACCACATCATCTCCAACAGGTTTTCCTGCTGATAATGTATACAGGCAGCAATTTCAGGCCCCGAATAATTTCCCTAAGATGGATTCGATAAGCCTACATTAAAGAGATACGTATACTGACTAATGGTTTATTCAATGCCTTTTCTTTCTTTCTTTCTTTCTTTTTTTTTTTTTTGTTAAAGATTTATTTATTTAAGCTTACAGAACTGGGGACAGGCCAGAGGTGTGGTGGGTGAGAGGCTTCACCAGAGACAGAGTGGGGAGCAAAACAGGAAGATCTACTGAAATACACAGCTGAGGGGAGCATTGGGCAGGTCAGGAGAGGTCTGCTGCCCCATGTGGGTCACCTCCCTGGCCGGGGATCAAATTTGTACTGCAGTGGCTTCCGAGAGCTTCATAATGTGGTGCTTTAACCCAGGTAGTGCTTTAACTACCTGGGAGAGCCCTTTTCACCTTTCATGCGAAGAAAGTTAATGTGAGATTCCCAGCAGGACCCCCATCGAGCACCCCCACTTTCCTCCCCACTAGAAGTGCACCACTATTCACCAAAGGCCCTGAGAAATGTGCTCTGTGGCCACCTGTTCTGATACCTAAACCTGCTAAATGTCTGCCATTTGCTAGCTTTCTTCTTGACCAAGAGCTTAACATGAGTCAAGAATGGAATGCAAGAGCTTTAAAAAAATGAATTTGTCTTTGGTCTGTTTTAATAGAATTGGGAGAATGTTTGTCCACCTCTATTTGAACTGGTCAGACTGCGCCCGGGATGTTGTGTTCTTTTCTGGGAATTGCAATTTAAGAGGAACAATAATAATTTGGAGAATGTCAAGAGAGGGAACAGGATGGAGAGAAAGCTTAAAAATATGTCACGTGACTACCACTGAATGAAATGGTGGAAGCTATTTTTTTCCTGGAAATGAAAGGGGAGGTTAACTGTTTTTCAAATGCTTCAAGGGCTAGCATTCAGAAGTGAAATGGTTTACCTCAGTGTAAGGCAAAACTGTCAAAAGATTACAGTTGCTGGCATTGATTCAATTAATGGTTTATTGAGCACCTCCTATGTGTTCTAGGTGTTGGACCATAGGCAGAGTTGTGTCAGATAATAGCATGCCTCGCTAAACCTAGAGAATGAGGCAACCAAAATTTGAGGGTTTGGCAGCAGGCAATCACAGTTAACATGACTGGTCTTGATGATGACTGGAATTCTGCCCATGCCAAAACTCTGTGTTAGTTTCCTTGGTGTTATACTTGATTGCAGTTTGATGGCATTTCTGGCCACTGGTGGTTTAGCCATAGCCTTCTGTGAGTAGCGCAGGGCTGCTTTGGCTGAATTTTGTACATACCTGGTAGCGAGACAAGACACTGTAAGATTTTTTTCAGATGTCATCTACAGAGGAGAACATGTCCTTGTGTCTCATATTCACCCCAGAAATTTAGTTCTCATTTCTATTCATTTTATTCTTTTTCAGCTTGCCATTTTTAATTGGAGAATGGGAATTTTCCATTTAAAACCAATTCCATTCTTTAATCTTTTTAAGAGGGTGGACTCAGGATGACCTAAGATCATAGAATCATTGTTAAAGTGGGGGGAGATATTGTAATGATTTATAAAGAATAAAGTGCAACTTTAGAAACTACAAATGCTGAAATTGAACTGGTACATAAAATAGTGACAGAATCTGTCAAGATGAGAATGTAAGCTAGAAGATAATTGTGAAGATAAATGTGGCACAGAGAGAAGGTAGCATAGAAAATATGAAGGAAAGGTTAAAAACTAGTAAGTGCTAACTTTTATTAATTTCAAAAGAGGTTAAAGTGCTTAGTTAAACAGGTGCTTAAAAGTGGATTTGCATCAGAACCTAGTTTATATTTGGGTGTTTGATCACATAATAATAAGGGATTATACAATGATGTCCATAATAGTCTTGATTAGAGTGGAGACTGAATGACTTGGGTATCATTAGTCGTGATTCTTATCCTCTGAGGGGGAAACACCTATTGTTCCGTCTTCAGAGCATCAACATGTTGGCCACATCTTTTCCTACTACCTCACTTTTATTTAAATCCTTGAAGGGTACAGGGTCACATGAATCCTGTGTCCAATGGCCTGATCAGGAAGGTTACTTTGGAGCATAAATATCTTCAGTTTTAATAAGAGCTGTGGATTTTCTCTGGTTCCAGAAACCCTTTTATTAGCAAAAAGGTCTTGGACTATAGCTTTCCAGACATATTTGCCATTTTAGAAGTTCTCTTCCTAGCAGGCCTCCATAGGTTCCAAAATACTGGGGAGAATAGTTACATCATTGGCTTAGGGAAACAAGGACATTAAAAAAAAAAAAAATCAAACTCAAGAGAATAAAATTGGAAGACAAAACATTCTAGAAAGAAGTCATTTCCTTGTACATTTTGCTAACTTGTGAAATACTTGTAAATGTTTCATATTAATCATGTTTCTGTTATCTTCTATTCTCCTGAAATAATTAATAGTAATAGCCTTAAGATAACCTTAAGTGCCTGCCTCAGTTTTAGGATTCGGTACAAGGCTAAAAAAACAAGTGTCCTCTAAGGAACTTATAACTATGAATTTGCTCTCTTGCCAATTTATGACTTTAAAAAAACCCTCAGCCTAGAAAGTAGTTTAAAGAAGTCCTGAGCTGTTAGTGTCCTTGGGATCCTGCCAAAAAGCAAAAATAAATGATCTCTGGTAGAACACATTTTCAACCTAGGTCTCAAATTCTGGATGAATTTCAAATGACCATAAGCTCATGACTAAAAATAATACAAAATTGCATGAAGAAACAATGCATCATTAGAGTAAGCAGAAATAACCAACAGAGTCAGATCCACAAAGTTTTCTGATGTTGAATTTATCAAATTTAATATTTACATATGTATATATGTAAACATATACTAAATATTTATAAATAGGAATTGAAAAAGCTAGTAAAAAAAGAGACTATCAAAAATGATCAGTCAGATGTTATTAAGTTTCAAGTGAGACTGCCCCCAAAATTTACAGCTTTAATATTTGAATTTAATTTGAATGCAAAAAAGAATGAAGAAGAAAAAAGTTAAACATAGGCAAATCAAAGGAAATGTTGACTTTTTAGAGCAAAAATAATAAGTAATGTGAAATTAAAAATGGAGAAACCTGAAATACAGAACAAGAAATAAAATCTATAGGAAAGGGAAATGGTTATAACTAAAACATAAGGGAGGGAACTCAGTGGTCTCTTGTGGAAAACTCCTTCTGTGCTGGAAGTTGAGGTGATAGCCTGCATCTGAAGAGGTGCAAGCCTCTCAGAGTCTTTGGAAACAAAAGAATACCGGGAGTTGAGTGTACAATCCTTTTACATGGTGCTAGATCTGATTTTGCAGTATTCTGTTTGGAAATTTTCATATGTATAAGAGATACTGGTCTTTTTAAAATAGTCTGTGAAGGATTGGTGTTTTTCCTTTAAATGCTTGTTCAAATTAAGAATAATGCCTCTGGTTCTGGGATTTTCTTTGTGGGACTTAAACTACTAAATCTCTTTACTTGTTATAAGTCTATTTGCATTCTCTATTTCACTCTTGAGTCAGCAGTTTGAATGTGTTATTTCACTACTTTCTGGCCTCTATGGTTTCGAATGAGAAATCTACTTATTGAACATCTATTGTGTATGAGTTATGTACCTCTTACTACTTTTAAGATTCTCTTTTAGCCTTTGATTTCAACACGTTTACTATGAATGTTATTCATAATCCCTTAAAATTGATCCTGCTTGAAGTTCATTGAACTTCTTAGATGTGCAGATTAATGACTTTTAGCAAATTTAAGAAGTTTCAGGCTATTCTTTCTTTTTCTTTTTCCCTTCTGGGTCTTCCATTATGCTTATGTTGATATGCTTGATTGTGTCCCCTGGATCTCTGTTCAGGGTATTTGTTGTTGTTGTTTTTTCATTATTTTTCCTGTTCCTGGGTATCAGATAACCCCAACTGATTATCTTCAAATTTAGTGATTTTTTTTCTTCTGCCTACTCATACCCACTTGTTGAGTCCCTATAGAGTGAATTATTCATTTGATTTATTTTACTTTTTAAGTCTACTTTTTTTTTTTTTTTGCATAGAAGAACTGGGATGTAAGCAGAGATTGGGGGAGCAGTAGGAGGAAGGGAGTGGTGATGGTAAGATGATTCACTTAAGACAGAATAGGCGGATTTTTACCAAAATACACTGTGAGTAGAGCAGGGGATAGACAACAGAGGTCTGCTGTGCTTGCCTCCTAAGTCAACTAACTCCTTGGCTGGGGATCAACTTTGGCTGTAGCAGTAATAGAGATGAGACTTAACCATGAGGCCACCAGGGAGGCCCTATTTCCTTTAGTTTTTCTGGACTATATCTCAGTTTGAGTAGAAAACAAGTTCAATACTACATTTTAATAGTAAAATTGAATAAAGAAAAGGAAAAGACTGGGAGAAAGAGAAAGGAAAGAGAAAAATACACTTGTCAGTTTCAAAGTGATGACTGCTGACACACTCTGACAGTTTTGTTCTAGTGCTCAGCAAAGATGTAATTATTTTCCATCAAAGGATTGCTAATTAGCTCAATAAAAGGACATTAATTAAAGGACCCTGTATGGAAATTATCTGAAAAGATTCTTGTGTCTCATGTCTTTCTTAATTTGTTATAATGAATGTCATAATATTTTAAGAGGATTAGAGCTGCTTATAATGGGTGATGCTTTTAAAGGACTAAAAAAGCTTTAGTAATTATATAATGAGTATGATACAATGTAATTTCATAAAATAATATTCCTACATTCCCTGTATAGGAGCTA